TTAAAGTTAACCAGATGATTTATTTTGAAATAAACTAATGGAAATAAAGGACTTAGCCTGGACTGATAATCTTTGACCCACTGGCCATTTATTACTTGCATTCCTTCAGGCAAAGTTATTAAAAAGGTAAGCATATAAATTGTGGTATTAGTACAGATTGCTCCTTTAGGGGGGAAACCAACATCTTGCAAGGCCTGATACTGACAGAAGGCAGGAATACCCTTATGATGCCATTTAACTCATAAACACGCTACCAGAAATGTTCACAAGACTGTAAGGAAGCTTATAGCTCTGTAAGCAAAAATAGCACATGAGGAACTAGGGAGGGGAGATGGATCCCACCATGGAAAAGCAGGCTTTGCGATATAAAAGGAAGGAGCTGACCAACCACAATTATGTCTGAAAGAAAAGGAAGAGAAAGCAGTAGGAAAAAGGAAAAAAACCCAAACATCTTGTTCCACAGAACATCTAAATTAGCCTTTTCAAACTGATGCCCTCCAACTGTGTTGAACTACAACTCCTATCATCCCCTACACATTGATGGAATGATGGGAGTCATACTGAGTCTTCCACAGAGGCTATCAGGTGGAAGAAGGCTGGTCTAACCACATGTGGTAGTGGTGCTAGTGATGGCATCGGTTTAGTCTCCCTGAAGCTTGAGGCATCCAATCCCCACTTCCTTCTCATTGTCTTATGCATGGGATGATCACAGCCATACAGACTATATGAAGCTATAGTTCAGTGGAATAAAATACTACACAAGAGGTTCGGTTCCTGGCTATGGATCAGTTGAATAATAAGCAAAACATCTGAGGCAGTGCAGAGCTGTAACAATGCCGAAGAAGTGGTGCAGTGGCTTAACTCATGTAATTGTCTCTGTTGACTGCCACCTGTCATTCACTTTGGTCAGTTCTTTTCATCTCATCCTATGGTATTTTCCCGTTCTTTTGTTGATTGATACTTGTTACATAAGAGCTCAGAAGTGCCGACTTGTACGGTGCATTATTGGCATTACCTTGACACTTGGGCTCAAACCATTTTGATTCCAGAAGCAGCAGCACAGAGAAGCAACTGCCTAGGCAACCATCACGGCTTTTTATTTGAAAAGCACTCACAAATTGTCCTATATTGACCTTGCTGTGTGTAGCTATCTCCACTGAGCCTGGTTAAGGTACATGGAACCTCCCTGAAGTTTTTTCCTATTCTCCAGTTCTCCTACTATTTCCTTTGTACTGAGCCATCCTGCCTTTTGCTTTGAACTCCATAAATGTCCTGGAGTTCTTCAGTACTGGAGGAAGGGGTGGTTGAGCATCCCTCAGGCTTGTGAATTTCCCTTCTAAGAATAATTTGGAGTCCTACCGGCTTCCAAAATCATTCTTAGTGATCCTTGCCTATCTTGATCTTCCACTCAAGCCTGATGCACATTCCACATTTTCAGCATCAGCATCCCCATGCTTTCTTGCTGAACCTCTTTTCCTTGCAGCCCACCACTGTCACCAAAGCAACCCTAGTTCTCTAGCCTCCCAATCCCCTATGTTAGTTACCATTTTCATAGCAGTATCTTCTAGTCTTTATCTGGCAACATTCCCCAGGGCACGATCCTATGCATGCTTAGACAGCAAAAAGACCTATACTTGTTGGCATCCCTTAGCCAGTCAAGCTGGCTGTAAAACACTGGAGATTTAAGACTGTTTTGTCTGAATATGCTTAGGACTGTGCCCTTAGTCTGTCACAAGAAATATACATTCATAGTCATTTGACACTTTTAAATATGAGCAGATTTAAGACAGACTTTTAAAGTACTTCTTCAGGTGCTTGGGCTTGGTGTTATTTTCAATTGAGAGATGTTTCCGGCATATATACATACAAACACAAACATGAGAGAGCTGATGTGTATTATGCATGGCTAAATTGTGAATTGGCTCTGGTGCAGAAAATTGGATACTTTTATTGCTATCTATCCATAATATGATGAATTCTGCATCAGTCCTCTGCCTTCAGCACAGCTTGGGTGTTTCCACATGTCACTTTTATCATTCAGTTATCTGCTTCATTAACAGGATTTTATTGGGAGTGGGGAAACAACTGTCTCCCACTTACCACCTTTCTGTATTTTCTCTGCTTTCTATCTTTTTTTTATTCCCATAAATAGAAAAAATGGAATTTTCCTTAAGGAAAATGGAATTCCAGCACAATGATTGGCAAGACTAGAAGCTGCCTGTCTTGAAGCACCCCAGGCTGATTACGTGCAGTGGCCCTCACACAGGTGGAAGAATGAGAACATTACTAATAAACCTGGTGCCAAAGGCATGGGCAGAATGTGACTGTATGAGCATCTGATTCAACATTCCCAGCTTCCACTGAGTATTGACTACAATAAAAATTAAATACCTCCTTTGGAGGCAAGCATATTAAAAAAAATAACCAAAATGGGAGGGTGACAGAGCAGTTGCCTGTAGCATAGAATCTTTATCATCTTGGCATGAACCAGCCTTGCCATGTTAGCATTTAAGAGCTGTGCTGGATCAGTCCACTTCTAATACTGTCCATGCTGGGGACTTGGTGCTACCTTTCCTAACTTGCATTATACAATGCTATTTAAGCTTCTAGCCCTGTGATTCTGAGCAATCTCCAAACATTTTGAAATGATTTAAGCTTTTTGATTCCCCCTTTCAACTTTTTACCATTTTGCCGATTTTAGAATTTATTCTTTTGAGGTCAAACATGTGTGATCTCTTCAGTAATCTTCTTAAATATATATCAAGTCTAATAGCACTGTAAACTTTGTTTCCAGTTGGTTTGACAATATTCCATCACATGCTAGGTCCAGGACTACAATGAATAGCATTGTTTGGATCTAAGAAATTCTGTGTGTAGTCCTCTTTAAGCCACTTGGATTAACTTGATTGTCTCTCTCAAGACTGAATCAAAGTTATGAGAGTTCTACATATAAAGTTTATACAGACGTTATAGAGATAAAATGAGAAACACAAATTATTCTTGTTCTATACCTGCTCAATTGAAAGTGGGATTTATTTTCAGGTAAATACACATTTGTTTGCAGGTAAGCTGGACTAAATTATCAGAATTTGTTTCCACAACCCTTAGCTCAGCCTTTTCCAACCTCTTGTCCTCCAGAGGATATAAACTGCAATTCGTATCATTCCCAGATATGGAATTTGCTACAAAGAGATTGGATGATGGATACCATTTTGGATGCCTTGATGGCTTTTAAACAAATTAATGGAGGATTATGGCTGTATATTACCTCCAATTTAGAGGTAGTATTGTCTGAATACGAGTTGCTAGGGAATAATAGGAGAAAGCTTGTCCTGTTTATGGATTTTTCCAGAGGCAACCAATTGGCTACTATGGGAAACAGAATGCTAAGACTAGATATGCATCTTTCTGAACTGGCACTGCTCTTATGCTTCCTTGTACATGTTTCATGCCTGAGAGTGTATCCAGCCTACCTGAGTTTTCCAAAAGGCCATGCTGTGTTGTTAGACTATGGACCTTTTCCCTTGACCAGCAATCACTTAGTGGTTTCCAGCTTTTACACTTTTTTAACTCATTAAAAAGTTGAAATGCCTATTAAGATTCAGTTACAGGCAGTGAAAACTTTAAGCTCAAAGATGCCAGTATATCTGACCTGTCCTTTTGCCTTCAAGCCAACCACCACCAGACTGTGGCCGCAACCACTTCTCCAAAAGAGAATGAGTACCTGCAGCTGCAAGAGCATAGGAAGTCGCCTTATCCTAAGTAAGACCATCGGTCCATGCAGCCCAGTATCACTGTCACTGTCTGGTAGTAGTTCTTCCAAACTTCAGACAGGAATCTTTCTTAGCCTTATCTGCAGATGCCCATGACAAAACCCGGAACCTGCTGAATGGAAAGCACGTGACCCTGAAACATTGAGGTACTGTTCAGCACTCCTGACAAAAATGCATGTAGAAGCATTAATTGCAATGGTCACAGGTAAATCAATACATAATTCTGTGTGTGTGTGTGTGTGTGTGTGTGTGTGTGTGTGTAACAGACTAAGGAACTCAGCAAGTTGCAGCATTTGAATGAAATACAAACAGTGAAATTTTGATTTGGCACTAGCGATGGCATTGGCCTATTTTTCTCAACAGTCTCCGGACAGAAAATAAACACGATTTATTGTGTTTAACGGCAGCCAACCAGCCTTTCAAGATAAAAAGGTTGCTTTAAGTAAATAAAAGCTAGTGCACAACAGGCACTCACTAATACTATAATACAGACCATTCAGGCAATTTTGGGAAAGACAAAATACTCGAAAACCAGAGAGGGTTTCATGAAGCACGACCCTTGACACACTTCGATCCGAATTAGGCAAGTGTTTGAACGTTAAGCCCTGTTTAATGTACAGCAATCCCGGCAATTTAAGTGCACGTGACGCTCACGTGACGCTGCGCGCAGCCCTCCTATTAAGCACTCCGATTTTTCAGTGCATTCTTCTAATAAAACCAACTTTTCTTTCATTAATCCTTCCTGAAATTTCGGGGGGCGGAAAACGACGCGGGAGGTATAGTCCGAATTGAGCTGCGTGCCCTTAACTCGAGGATTAGCTTGCTAGCGTGACGCTCATGTAGCCTGAGGCAACAAAGGAGCCGCGCGGCCTCATCAGTCGCTGCTAAGTCGTCCCATTCATTTCAGTGACATTACTCCGCAAAGGTCTAAAAGTCTGGGTCCCGCGGGCACGTAAACCCCCCAAATTAATGCATATTCTGGAGCGGGTCACTCCTGCCTAGCCGAAGGAGAGGAGCGCCTTAGGCCAAAACGCACCGCCGGGAGACAGCGAGAGGGCGCAGCACCCGCCCGAGGCGCTCCGCTTCCTGCTGGGTGGGCCGGGCGGCACGCCCCGAACCGCCGGTTGGTCCCACGCCCTGGCGCAGGCAAGCGGGGAGGCGTGGCTCTGCGTGATGACTGGGAGGCGGGCGGCCGCCGGAGGGTATAAGTCGGGTCCGAGGCCAGTCGCGCAAGCGCGTGGAGAGGCTTGAGTGGTGGTAGGCGCTGCTGCAGAAGCGAGGAAGAGCGGAAACATGGCGGTGCAGAAGGCGGTTTGCGTCATGGTCGCCGACCCCGCCGCGGAGGGCCGAGTTAAAGGCGTCATTCACTTCGAGCAGAAGGCAAGGCATGGCCTCGAGGCTCCGAACTCCTGGGGAAAGCGGTTTCCGTGCCTTCGGCGCCGGGCGGTGGGAAGCTGCTCAGCACTGTGGCGCAGCTGCGTTCGCTAGGCTGCAGCTCGGGAGAGCCTTCCCAGCGCTCCATGGCCTTTGCTAGGAAGCTGCGGGAGAGGTCGTGCCCGGGGCAGCGTTTCTTAGGTTCAGGGGAAAGGGTGTTGCAGCCCCAGATTTGGGAACGTGTGCATTCCAGCTTTAGGCGGAATAAAGAATCTGGGTGGGAATGCTTCATCTGTGGCTACGTTTTCGCTAGCCTGGTGGTCTCCAGGTGCTGTGCTGGCTGAATCTGATGGCAGGTAAAGCCCAGCACATCTGAGGGAACCCGCTTGAGAAGGTCCGCCGTATCCTAAGGCCTGTGGTCTGCGCTGTAGGCTCCGACCTCTCGGGTTAGTAAGCAACCTCTAGCTGTAGTGAAAGGGCGAAATCAGCTAAGGTAGCTGTCCGTGTTAAAATGAACTTCAGCACATAGCTCCACCCACTATTTTCTTTTTCTTTTTAGTCTTTTAGTGGATAATAAGGGGGAAGTTTCTAGAATAGAGAGAAACAGTTTGTCCTAATTCTATACCAAGATAATGGCCAGATGGCGTGTTAAGTGCAAAGAGTAAGACTTCTGTTTCCTGGCCATGTGCAGCTTGTTTCCTTGGTAGAATACCTGCAGTAGTAAAATTAAAATCCTGGCTTTTTCGGATTGTGCTTTCCCTTCCCCTGTTAAGACTGGGCTCCCACCAAAAACCCTGTCCATCTGAAGATGCTCTGGGCATGTTTCTTCATGCTTCAGCAAAAGAGAAGAATGCGCAGTTTACCTACTATTTCCAACTGGGTCATAGTTGCTGAGTCATCCCTGCTGAGGAAAGTTGTTAAGGGAACTGATGTTGAGGGAGAAAGCTTTGCATTCTAATCCCTTGAACATACAGGTTTTACAGCACTGAGCTTCCCTGGACACAGTGGGGCATACCTATGACCTCTATAGCCGTGTATTGTCATGGCTGTGAATTGTGGGTTAAAATGGATTCATATGCCATTAATGAGTATATTTAAGAGACTTTGATACTAAGTCTTGGTCTGCAATCAGAATATGCATGGTAGGCAAATTTAAGAGATTGGATTATAAATGCCTGTTTGTAATTACTGTAGCAATATCTGTCAAATTACAGCTGCTTTAAGCATTGGTATAAAAAGAGTGTTTGGAATTTAGACTGAACAAGAACAGAACTGGTCTGATAATTGGACTTAAACATTTAATGTCTTGCTAGTAGCCACCAGAAGTTCCTACATTCTGCCAACATTCTATGGAAACTTCACTGGTAACAATACAGTGATTCATTTACATATGCACTGGTTGAAAAATATTTTGAAGGTTTATACCTGCCTTTTGATCACTTGATCTCAATATGTTATTTTAAAAATACCAAAAAAACTCTTCTTCCAAACAACCATACTTGGATTTATGGCTGTAAAATATTTTCCCAGATTTTTATATAATGTATGCAGATGTGCTGGTTCTGCAAATCTTCAACACTTTTTGTAGTGATAGGTTAGAAGCGGTTAGGACTTACGGAATATACCTTTCACTGTCAATATTCCTCCAATATGCCTGGAAACTAGCAAACCAGTGTGATGTGGTTAAGAGTGTGGGACAGGGACTCAGGCTATCTGGATTCTAGTTCCCACTCAGTCATGGAAGTCAGTGGGTGACTTTGGACCAGTCACATACAGCCTAACCTACCTTATGGGGTGGTTGTTACGAGGATAAGAATGAGAACAGGAGGAGAATTATAAAAGTTGTTTTGAGTTCCTTGGAAGGGTAAGGGAAAGGGCAGGATGTAAATATAGTGATTTCTTACAGCTTGAACCATCTCATGTTCTAGTCTTCACATAGAGTTGTATTATATTAAATTTAATTTTGCAGTATGGAACTGTTAGATACAGTAACCCATTCTTTGGAAGTGAGTAACGGTCACCAGTGATGAGTAAGTATATATCTAAGCACTCGGGGTGTAGGTGTGGACTTATCTAAGCAGTCGGGACGTGTGCACAGACTTACAGATAATTCATAGCAAAATTTGAGAAATAATTTGCCCAAGGTGATTTGACAAAAATATTGCTTATGGCTAAACAGCTAAAACGAAATAATCTGTCTATTCTCTATATAAGGCTTCCCTAACCTAATTCTCTCCTGAAGCAGTCTATTTTTCCCTTAATCTGTCCACCAGCTATGCTGGCTATGTTATTATAGTTAACAGTTCTGGAGGGCTTCTGGTTGGAGAAAGCTGTCACAGAAGCTGGGGTTAATTATGAATAACAATTAGCAGCATATTGTAACATAGCATACATAGTTAAAAGTGAGAACCCCTTGCTAAAATGGGGCATATCATTTTCTGCCTAGCTTACATAATAGTTATTCAAACAAAATTAGGCAAAAAGACCAATAGAAAGTCCAATAGAAGGGCTGTTTCCTTGGGTTAGCTTTGCCCTCAGGCAACCCCCAAAGTTCATCCACAGCAACTTTTGCTCTCCACTTCCAGAGGGAGAATTCAGGAACTTGGGCTATCATAAATCTAGAGGAACCAGAAGACTGCCATTTATCCATTTCAAATTTCCAAGTTTTACTGTATGCTAGGGAAAATGCTGAGATAGGCCTAGCTATAGCCTTGAACCACTGGCAATGTTACTGTTACAAGCAGGTTTAAATATTAAGAATCCTGTGTAGTTTTCTAACAAGACTTGACATGGTAGCATTATTTGCAGCAGGTTCAATGCCTTTAAAAATCATATTCTTGGTGTTAACAAATGTATGCAGAATATATGTGACAGGATCCCATTTTGTTTGCTTCTAAACTGTGTTATGTAGTAAATCACTGGAACCTGGTTGTGGAGACAGGGGTGAAGACTGAGATGTTCCAGATTCATGTTGAACAATAGACCAAAATGGTACTATAGAACTTGGCTTAAACATATATTGCTTTAAAAGCTTGGTTTTCCAGCGTGTGGCCTTCCATGGTGCAATTTTGGCCTAGTGTCATTAAAATGATCAGATTTCATCCCATGTATCTATATATATTTTGGAGATCAACAAGCTTTCTGACAAAGGACTTGTTTGAATCCTATTGTATATACTTTTTCTGTTTCAGGATAAGGAAGTATTTGTTACAGGGCGTATTGAAGGATTGACTCCAGGGAAACATGGGTTCCATGTCCATGAATTTGGAGACAATACAAATGGTAAAATGTTTGCTATTAACACTCACTACTTATAGCAGAACGTATGCTGGTAAAAAGTAGTGAACAGTGTTTTATGTTTATCTGCTGATGTTTTTATTTGGTTCTTCTGTATGATAGTATGCTTTAATATTTGAGCATGCTGTTATGATGATTGACTTTTGTAAATTGCCTTGGGAGCATAAAGCAGCTCTAAGGGCAGTTCTATTAAATAAAACAGTACTGTAAGAATGCATGGGATAGAACAACAAATAATACACTTCACCAGGAGCAGATTTCACATGCAGTGATGAAGTGCTCAACCCTAGCCTAGGTATAAAATGCAGAAAATCTTCTCAGGTCTTCACTGGAGAGATTAGGAACCCCCCTGTCCCCCAAAACTTATTAATTCGAATTGTAGTAGGATTTCTTGAGGTTTAGATTGAAAGCTTTCTGTAAGAGTACCACTGGCTGACCTGCACACTGTGATACAGGGCAAAGACTGACTTTGGGAAACTTTTTACAGGATGTACCAGTGCAGGGGCTCATTTCAATCCCGAGGGGAAAAAACATGGTGGACCAGATAAAAAGGAGAGGTGAGTATTGAATTTCCATGTATGATTTTAAGGAAATTTCTACTGTAGTGGTTTTAATGTTTCCCAGTACAATACTCTCCTCCAGTTCCAGCATAAAATATACTAGAGGCACATAAGTACAACTTCTTTCATAGTGTAACAGTGCAGTGTATTGCCTTCGTCACAGTGAAGAATTACGTTGCAGGTTCTGAGCCAGATGCAGAAATGAAATTGTAAAAGGGTCCCAATTTTCCTCAATTTATCTCTGTTTCTAGACATTCATTCTTCCAGTCTGACTTAACACCTCTATCATGTACTGCTAGAGTAGAAAGTAGTGCTATGAGAAGTGACTCTTACTTGATTAAGTATGATTAAATGATTATTAGGTTTGATTAAATCTAATACCTAAAACTGTGTGTGTAGATACTAGAAGTGCAGAAACTACTTTCATTGTCCACATATATTTCCTTATGAATTCCTGTTTCTGAATCTGACTTTTTAACCAAGTCTATATATGCAATCTGCCACTTACATACACCACTTTTCTTCTGTTGGTCCACAGCTGATTGTGAGACTGTGTCCATTATCTAGTCTTCTGATCCCACTTTATAGCACCTTCCTTCTCCTCTTCTGTTTCCCCTGGGATGCCTATTTCCTGCTTCAATAATTTCTGGCTCCTGGCTTAGTTGGTTCCTCAGCTTCTGCCCTTTTGTTTATGGCATACTTTCTTCTAGTACCTACATTACTTTATATAGCCAAACTTGGCCTCATTTAAGCTTCGCTGTTGGTCAGCCATTTAAACTGATGAGACTTGGCAGCAGCATAGCCAGTAAGCATGGTGGAGCTCTGGGACATTTAGTCAGCAGCCAATTTTGAGCCTTTTAACTGATTATAAGTCTGTGAGCAAATGGGGTCAGGAACTGCTCCTTCAATTCATTATTTAAAGAGTTATTGGTGTGTTCTCAAGGTAAAGGATTAACAATACTCTTAACTTTTCCGGGTATGTTTTTGTGGGAAACATGAGTTTATTCAGCACTGCATAAAATAAAAAAGGTTAATACAGGCACTATTAGAACAAGCAAAATACAGCCATACAATTAGAGGCATCAACATTTGAATAACAGTGGAAGTACCAATTTTCTAATGGTGGATCTAAATTACAAATAGAACCACAGCAGAACTCTTTAGAACATCCTGGATTTTTTTTTTACAATTGTAAATCCCTCTCCCTTTGTTACTAGTAACAGCTGATGCTATTGAAATCTTAATAGTTCAGAATCCCAGTATTTTGACCACAATGAAAATTCAACAGGGCAATGGCTCAAATGGGAAACCCTTAAAACGACTGAATTGGCTTGTATTAAACAGCATTTGTTTCCCAAGTGATGCCTTATTGTTAACTAGAGGGTTTTATACATAACCAAGCTTTTGCAAAGTTGGATGTATATATAATGTGCAGAAAATGCTTTTTAGTTTTAGGGTCGGCCAATACTTTAAAAAATGGAACTAAATAGCTATATTTTGGGACTAATGCATTGACCCAGTTTGAGCTGGCAGCTCTATCTTTAACATTTGACTAGTTCAATTAACTTACTGAAGTTGAACACCAGCTTGTTTGCATGTTTTAGCATAAGGTATATGGCAGTAGCACATCAATAGTTTGTAGTTAACATTCATTAAAAGGCAAATTCTGCTAATAAAACAAATAACTGTATTCCAGGCATGTTGGTGATCTTGGAAATGTCACTGCAAATGCGGAAGGTGTGGCAGATGTGTCAATAAAGGACTCTGTTATTTCCCTCTCAGGAGCACATTCAGTTATTGGCCGCACAATGGTGGTAAGTGTTTTCTTAAGTCAGCTTCCCCACATTTTGAGAAAATGGGTTGTTGCAGTTACCTTTACAAAGAGACTATTTTATCTGTGAAACTGTTGCTATGTATCTCAAACACTAAATCACTAAGTAGTCAGTTCTAAAGCTGTTGGCACAAGATTGCTGTTTCAGATTTTCATTAAACATATCTGCTTGTATGTAGATTGAGCATTGGTGGGCCAGAAGTGAGCAAAATCATCCTGAAACCCATATTGCTTGTTAATGTTGCCAGTGTTTGGTACCTTGCTAGATAATTTGAGGTAGAGGAATATTCAGTATGTTGTATGGAAAGGGGCTCTTAACATGATGCTCCAGAACAAATATTGTTTAAATTCTTACAGATTAAGTTGGAGATAAAAAACATACGTTTTTGCCTTAGTGTTGTTTTTGAACACTATTCAGTTTAGGCTTTTAGGGAGGCCCTATTTCTTTTAAGTGAGCTGGAAGAGCTGTCAATATTAGAGCTATAGTGGAGAAGCTATTCAGAACTGGTTGGATGTTTCCAAAGGCAGTCTGTTTGACTTAGTAGCACTGAGTAGTGTAGGCATGCATACGTAAACAATTTTTTACTGATTATTTCTATATTGACAGAGAACTAGTAGAATCTTTCTGATCTTGGCCATTTACATCAGGGGTTTGAAATAAACTGCTTGCCTTCCAGGTAGGATTGTAGACTACTTTGGAGTCAGTCACTATCTTATGTTTAGGTTGAAGCAAGGGTCTTGCCAGACCTGTCTAGAATGTGTTATTAAACTGCTGCAGGGAGTAAACACTCAGCTATTACCAAGACATGGAGTTTTGATATGCATTCCATTTAAAATTTCAGTAATGGAGTAGTATCCTTGAAGAACCAGGACTGCTGAAACAAGTGACTAAATCATTTCAAATGTAGCATCTATATTCTAATTTTGCTATCTTCCTCTTTTAGGTCCATGCAAAAGAAGATGATCTGGGGGAAGGTGGGAATGAAGAGAGCTTGAAGACTGGAAATGCTGGTGCGCGGCTAGCCTGTGGTGTGATTGGACTAGCTAAGGCTTAAATGTTCAAGATTGGCATTGTGTACTAAAAGCAAATGTATCTGTGTAGCAGTTGATGATCTGGTTTTGTTTAGTGTAAAGAGCAACTGTTTGATCTTATGGTTGCTAAATGGAAGGCTGACAAGTTGTATTTTGTACTCCTGTAATTAAAAGAGCCTGTGAAACAAAATGAGTTGCTACATTTTGCAGACACCGAGAACCAGTTTACTTTGTAGCTGAGCTGAAGTCCTCTGAGCTGTCTTCATCACCTCACTTAGAATTTGCATGACCTAAATTCCCCTTACGAATTGTGGACCAAGTTTGATAAACCACTATTACTGAGGTGAGTTCTCATACCCATGTCTGCTACTATATACCCTTCTAGTCAAACAAGAAAAAATGCTTTTTAATTATTCTACTCCCTCTTCAATCACATGAATACATGTTCAAACACACTGCTTTACAAGATGTCAAAGTCTATCAGTGAAATTTTAGTGGCTCATCTGAAGATTTGTTTTGGATCTGATGGTACACAGGATGGGTGTCTTTTTTTGCTGCAGAAAAATATGGAGGCAACATATCTTTAGTGCTTTCTGAAATACCTAACAAGGATTGAACTTATTCATACAATGCATTACTCAGCTGCATAACTGTAGCAAAGGCTACCATGTCTACAGGGACTGTTCCTGTTGTGTTGACTAGTGCTACACATAATTTAAACATGATACTTTCCTAACAAGCTGTTGGTCTCAGTAAAGATTTACACTACCACTACTACACTTTGACTACACAAAGTGATAGGCATAACTGTTCAAACTTATAAAATACCATGCTTAACAGCTTGTTTCCTGGTGACATAGTTCACCAAGGCTGTCAACACTTGAATGTTCGATGTACTTGCTTTAAAATGGTCTTGGCTAAACTTTTTAGTGCAGAAGCACTTGTTTCTCATACAAGTTCTCAAATGTTTGGGAATTTGCAGTGCTGCCTTTGATCAAGCCCACTGTGCCATCTTTAATTTAAAAAACAAGATTGTGCTATATTTAAAGTCTCCACAGCTGGCCTTTAAACTCTTTTCCAAAGCAACAGTGATATTAGTAAACAGAGCATCTTAACAATTCTAAAAGAGCACCCTGGACTATTTTTTCACAAAGTTTGTGGGGGAGGGTGTGTATTTTGACTTGTGAATTGTAACCAAAGCAATGCAAATAGTAATTTTCAATAGCAGTTACAGGGTGCTACATTAAGATTGGAGCGGGGGAATGTATAAGTTCATGTCTGCTTTATCAAAGTTTAAAAACTTTTTAGAACTAATTTTCGTGTTTCTGCTGAACACTATGGAAACAAAGTTCAACACATGAAAATTAATTTCACAAGTGTATGATTTTTTTATTCTATTACTGCAAGAAAAGTTTTTTGCCTCATTCTAGCTCCCGAGAAATTAATGGGGGAATCAATGTCTTCATTTAAATGGAAACAGTAACAAGTACTGAGCATGTCACCAAGAGGAAACCCAAACAAAACAACCAGAAAATAATTTTTAGAGCATCAGTGCTACTGTTAGTTGTGGATAGGTCTTTCACATTGTGTATGAAGTTAAGGAAATAGAATAGGTATACAGGTTTTCAGGCTTGCTGGCATTTGCTAAATAGTAACTGCATCTTAAAATGCACTAGATGAGCTAAAGGAGTCAATACTCCTTCAGGCTATCACCAATTGTACATATAAAATGACCAGGTTACCTAAGTTATCTGACAATATTTGGAAAAAAAAACCATGCTTGCATTTAAGAAATGCCACCCAGGACAAATTAGAATATAGTGGTAATTTGGTGCATGTTATTTTACTACCCCAAGCACACTACTGGATTAAATTACAGAAATATGCTGATGTACTTTCCCAGAGGACCTAGCATTGTCAAAATTATTTGGGGGCAACATTTACCACAACAGTTACTGGATGACCAAGAAAACAAACTAAGTTTAAAAAAAGGATTTCACTGCAAACACTAACTCTTCTTTAAACATTTAAAAGCTATTCTTTCATCTAGTTAATTAAAATGCATAAATTTAATTAGCAACATAACTACCACATATACTTCGCTTCTGTGAACTGTTATACAAACATGTTTAACATAAACAAAGTCTAATTTAGACTCCCGTACGGCATTAACAGTTCAAACTTTAAGATGTTGAACAATCCTTTACCACTTGAGTGCAGTGTAGGAAGAATAGCACACATTAAAGTTTGTTATGAAAATAGAGTTTATTAAAAACATCCCTATTTGCTTTTAGGAGCTTTTACCATTACCTTCACTTAAATTAAAAAAAAAATAGAAAGCACTTCTAATTCTGACTTGTAAACTTTTTAAAGTCAAAACTTTTAAAAAGTTACAGCAAAAATGGGTAATGATTTATTTTTGTGTTATTTTGTAGCTATTTTAAATAGAAGGGAAGCAATCAAATTGCTTACATATCCCCATAAACTATGGAGAAGTTGTGATATAGCAAAAGCAAATATACAGCATACTGTACAACTCTAAAGCTCTATACTCCAATGTCACTTTTTGACAAAAATTCCAGTCTCTAACGAGGTGCTTCCTCAACTGAGCCAGCAGACTTTTCAGGTTGATCAAGAGATGAGGTAGTCTCAGGTGTTAACTCTTCAGCAGGTTTTACACCTGTGGGTTCAGACTCCTCTTTATTAAGTTCTGAAATGGAGTCTGTGTTTTCTACTTTGCTACTCTGGGATTCATGGTTTTTGACATCTACCCTGTCTGTCAACTCAGGTTTCTCCTTTCCTCGATTTTCGTCCTTCTCTCTGCGAGATTCCCTATCTCTAGAATCTCTCTCTCTCTGTCCACTGAAACGTCTATTTCTTTCCTCCAGGTCTCTGTGTCTATCACGTTCAGGGCTTCTTCTTCCCCATTCTCTCCTTTCACGATTACCAAGACGTTCATGCTCTCTGTCATCATTGCGGTTACCATAGCGTTCACGCTCATTTTCTATCCGATTTCCAAAGGACCGCCTTCCAAATCTTTCCTGGTCTCTATTTGGAGTAAATGGCTGCCTATCATTCCTGAACTGCCTTCCATCTCTATTATCATCAGGTCCACCAGGCCCCCCTCCAGGCCTCACAAAGTGACCAGGTGGTGGAAAAGGGCCCTTCATCCCATGAGGTGGAGGCATTCCAAAGCCTCCTGGACCTGGCGGTGGACCTCTGTGCATCATATGGGGAGGCATATGCCGAGGTGGCATCATTGGAAACCGTTGTAAATGAGGTGGTGGCATTCCTGGAGGTCGCTGGAGCGGTATCAAACCGGGCCGTGCACCCAAAAGGCCTGTAGAAGGTGTCTGGAGCCCAATAACAGGACTAGGTGTAACTCCTTGAGAACCTGAGAAGCCAAAAGAAAGAAAAGTAATGGCAGGGTACATTCCGAAAGGTATACAAGTCACTAATAAAGTTACATGTCAAAGCATTCCTTACAAGTATTTCACGTGCTATTTCTACAAAATTAAATCTATAATTCCATGACTGTGACCAATACACTAAAGAATGTCATGCTTAGGTGCATTAACATTTCCCAATGAGCTTATTATTTGGAGTAATAAAATAGTATCAATACATTGGGCATAGGAGCCAAACTTAATACTGAGGGTAGACCCACTGAAATCAAGTTTGATTAAGTCCAGATTCACCTTAATGTGAAAAACCTCAAAAAATTTATCTTGACTTCCTCAGTCACATTTTTTTCCACCATGGGCTCCAAAAAAGATGATTTCCATTTTTATTTACCACATGACATGTAATTTTCTGAATCTCTCCCCATTAAAAATACTTTTATAATTGATCACATGTAGTTAATTTCTATATAGTTAGTTTATGCTTCTCAGGTTCATGTTTAGCCATAGAAAGTACTGAAATAGCAGCTCAGCAACTCGTACTTATAAATGCAGGCACAAAAATAACATTTTTGCAAATATTCAACAATGCAAATTAAAGTAGATCCAGTCTGCTTCACAGAAATAACTAGACACCATGTCAAGTACCTTTTGTTCTGAAAAGCTTTGGCACCTATCCACACTTTCAATTCTTTTAATAAACATCTATTACTACACAGATCTGGTCCTCAGTTGCCTTACAGTAAGCACAGCAGCAGGACATAATTCAAAAAGTTATCTGCAGAATAGTGTTGCAGTGAACACAGGGCCAGTCCAGGTCATTTAGCTGCTTATGTAAGCAACAAACCCTTACATGGATGTCAAACCAAGTGAACATGGTCAGTGGGACAGCATGCTGCAGCTCTGAGGGCATCTGCCTAGCTTAGGGATGCAGGACAGGCTGTGTACACACACACCATCCCCCAACACCTCACCACCACCGATTGCCCTATCTAGAATCTGAGCTCTCCTCTGCCCATTCAAGCAATTCCTGCAGTGCAGCAAGCATGAAACCAGTGTGCACCATGAGCAGAGCAAAAGTTATACATAAGTGATACATACTAGGCTGTAGCATCTTGAGCATCTTTCACCTCACTCTTGTCTAATGGTAGGGCCAGCCCTGATTCACCAGCATTTAAGATACTTTTTAGCAATTACACAGTTAACTTAGCAGCTCTGACTGGCTTTTAGTCCTGGGCACTGCAGGTTTACAAGTGCTCATCTCACCTATAAATGTTGGTCTTCACAAAGAAACACTGTGGATGTTTTAATCATGATTTATGTACTGCAGAAAGCTCAATTAATGATACAATTTCTAGAAACCAGTCCTAGTAAATTACCACCAAAATTCCTGATGCTCCAAAATTCAAACTCCAATTTAACTACCTTTCTGGCACTGAATTAGATTTTACTATGTTGCTTTGCCTGTTATCCCACAGTAAGAAAGCAAACATTTAGGTAATTGATCTTATAAAATAGAAAAATAGCTACATAATTTTGGATGCAATCCTATACATGTTTAGACAGAAAAGGATTCTGGGAAATGGTGGAAGCTGTAACATATTCCTAAGCAGGTGTAGGATTGTGCCTTTAATTACATAAGGCACAACTACTCCAAACTATAGAACTGGATTCATGTGCACTAAATTCCATTGAGCAGAGGATGTGTTCAGACTATAATCAGAATAGTTCTTATTCATAAAATTATTCCAGAAACTTAAAAATGGGGAAATCAGCATATGAAAATACACAAAAGTTATCTTTATAGAATAGCATCTACCTGCATATTATCAGAACTACTTTTAGAAGCCAATGTCTTCCCTTCCCACAATGCATTAAATTTCATCCCAATTGTAGCATGTATGCTCAAGCAAAGCGTTGTCTTTACTATAATCATAAAGTAAACTTTCTGGGGTTAAAAATGTTCTGCTCCAATTACAATAGCATGTATAAATAGTATTTTTTTTTATTTTTCTATTAAGCAAATGTTCCAGGTGCACTTATGGAAAATTTTCTAAAGCCTTACTGTTTAAGAAAATTGTCAAGCATCTAGTCATCTTTTTTAACTAAGACCAACCTATCAATACCTCCTCTGGGTGGCTTGGAGAGCAATTCCTAACTACTTTGCTATTATGTTAGCATTCCCTTTAATTATAAACATAGGTGGTCGAAATGCCTATCAGTTTGGAAACTCTGATATACCCACATCAGTGCAGCTACATCTGATCACCCAAAAAGAAAGACTGCAGTATTTGCACATTCATTGGATATCTATATTTGCACAGCATTTTAAAATTAATTTTAAAAATGCACAAGATGTGTGGCTACTAGGGCAGGCTAGAAATCAAATAAATAAAATGGCCCCAAATAAACTTGTCAGCTGTAGAATGTTGATGGCAGTTGAACCTATAGAGCGAATAATAAACCAACTTACCCTCATTGTCTATGGACAGTCCACATTCACATGTAACAACAAAGACAGAAGATTCCATCTTTACTTTTATTTGACGGGACAGCCCACTGCTACCCAAACCACCATGTTAAAATCCTAGATTTCTTCATGCTTCTGTAGAGGCAGTTCTCATTTCCATCTCAGGGGAGGGGAGAGTAAATGAGATGCGATTCAAAAATTCGAGAAATGCAATGGTAAGCTGCCCCTCAAAAGTAAGGAAAAGGGAGCCAATAGCCTTCTAGAGCTCCAAAGAGCTTATTTGGGTTAGGGCATATGTGCCATGAGATTTAAAAAAACCTTTATCTCTGAACTATAGAAAGATATCTCAGAAGTGATTCCCACTGTGACAAATCCCAACTGTTCCCACTACACAGAAATAAATTGCTCAGATTTGAGACTGACATCCAGTTCATAGCACAGCAGGGGGAAGCCACCCAGAGACTCCATTAGGAGTAGCGGACAGCATATAAAAGCAAAAATAATAAGACTTTCCCCTATCCTCCTCCTGAAATTCCCCCTCCCCAAGCCTAATTGGGAATACAACGCTCCTGTTCTGTGGTGTCTGGAGCCTGGTACAGAAGCACTCCTCTTGTGTGGCAGGTATACATGGCATAATTTTATTATAAATCTCACTTGTAGTTGTTATAGCATATATGTTCATGACCTGAAAGCTTCTTTTTTTCCTATGTAATGAACAGCTTATGAGGAAGTCACTACTAAAGCAGCTTGCCTTCCATGTTTCCCACAGACGTGATTGTTCAAACTGCAGTAGGGCAAAAGCTCAATTACATTCCCAATGTAAGAGTTCAAAACAGGCATGTGTCCATGCTTCATACAAAGAATGTTAACATGTGTGAAGATACCTTAGGTATTTAAAATAAACTTAGTGTAATGGATACTTACATAAATCCAATATCCCTCTCAATTTCCTTACAATGTCCTCCCCAAACTAACTGCATGGAACTTGTTCTCCCCATCTCCCACAGACTTGAAATATGAAATGCTACATTTTGGTTTCTATAGCTTTGAAAACAAAGAGAGACACATAGTACAGCTATCTCATGTGACAGCTCTACTTCAGAACTTGTGTGTGGGGCATTTTTTTTCTTTTTTAGGGACTTAATATTGTAAAGAGCATAAAACTCAGTTGTGACCAGTTGACATTATGTAGATAAAATTGAATAACATCTGACAACACACACTTTTTAAATCCTATCCTAAAGAATTGGATATAAGAACTTCACTTTACCTTCCAGCACGCTAATTAACATAATTGTAGATGAGAATGTCATTGAATTTAAAGTCAAGTTTGTGAATTTGTTATTCTACCGAAGGCCATTCTTCTATTTATGAGATGTCTGATTCACCGAACTGTTGTAAAAACACTACAGCAGGTTCATGTGGTAGGAGTATGCATCCAATAGCAGAAAAGTGTCAAATATCCCTGAAGAAACTATATAATGAATTCTAACAGAACCAAAGATATGAGATCAACCTGGATAAACAAGAATCTGAACTGGAACTCCGCTACACTTTCATAATTCCTCCTAGCATGATCTTTTTCAACTTTGGATTATATAGACACAGATGTAAAAGCCACATTAAAGAATTAAAATTAACAAAACTTGCTGAATGGAACACAAGAAACTACCCTATTGCTAGCTTATGTTTCATGGAGTAATCCTTTGTAACTATTTGAAAGGTATCTGCAACTTGAAAATTTGCATATATTCTACCAGTACCTGTTGATTCAACTAGAGCCAGTTACTATTCACTGGCCAATTTAAGGAAAATCATTTTCAAGATATTATCTGTTAGACTGTTGTTATTCTTACATAATACAGTTAATGATCAAGACATTACTTTTTAAGTTAACTGATGGGGGACTTGTGTAAAAAAAATGCCTTGGACAAAGGAGCAAGATGGTGGCTAGAACAGTATTTGCTTTCACTGGGCAAAGACTCTGTATCAGTACTTCATTCCATACTTGTTTAAGTCACCTTTAGCCAGTCTTCATAATTGCTGTTTTAGAAGTCAATGTGAATTTGTTTCACATTAAAGTCCATATCTATTTTACACCAGCAGCAGTTCCTGCATTTTAGTAACTTTTGCAATAAAGTACATTGCCCAGCTACATTTCAAAACATTTGTAAGCATGCTTTTATTTGACTGAGTCAATTTTAAACTACCTTTGGAGTAAGCAAGCTCTCTTTAACTCATTCACATGTTCTATGCCACTTTGAGAGATAGAGCTACATATGTATGTGTTTCCATCAAGGTAATTTTGTGCTTTTTAAGGTCAGGCTTCCCAATTTTGCTATACAGCAATTCAGAGAGATGTATGAGCTTTAACTTATAGTTCATGAATCACATCATTTTGGAAAAAAAAGTTGGAAGTGAAGAAAAGAAGCAACAGTATGCATTCCCCTGCAAGTGGCACTATCCAGATATTGCATATATATATATATATTATGGTGCAGAGAGGCTATCATGGTGATGTAA